TCACACATAGATTAAGAGCCGAGGTGGCCGCAGTGGTTAAATGCAGCACTGCAGGCTACTTCAGCTGACTGCTAGTTCTGCAGTTCGGCTGTTCAAATCTCACCGGCTCAGGGTTGACTCAGCCTTCCATCCTTCCGAGGTGGGTAAAATGAGGGCCCGGATTGTTGTTGGGGGCGATATGCTGACTCTGTAAAACCGCTTAGAGAGGGCTGAAAGTCCTATGAAGCGGTATATAAGTCCAATAAAAACAAAAACTAACAAAACAATAGATTCTCGACCCAGCGGTAGATCTGATTCTCACTCTCTCCAAAGTGTCTCCTGTCAGGTTCTTGAAAGTAAGGGTTGGCAAGTCGTGGGAAATGGTGGGTTGATTGTTAGGGGGCTATTACTTCATTGGCTGCTGCAACTGATGGAGAATGGCAGACTGAGGGAAGAGGAGGAGGAAGGAGGAGGAAGAAGAAGGTGTGGAGGAAGAAGAAGAAGAAAGGAGGAAGAGGAGGAAGGAAGAAGGATAAAGAAGGAGGAGGAGGAGGAAGAAGAAGAAGAAGGAAGAAGGAAGAAGGAGGAGGAAGAAGATGAAGAAGAAGAAGGAGGAGGAGGAGGAAGAAGAAGGAGGAAGGAGGAGGAGGAAGAAGGATGGAGGAGGTGGAAGAAGGAGGAGGAGGAGGAAGAAGAAGAAGAAGGAGGAGGAGAAGGAGAAGGAGAAGGAGAAGGAAGGAAGATGGATATAGGAGGTGGGGAGGAGGAGGAAGAAGAAGGAAGAAGAAGGAAGGAGGAAGGAGGAAGAGGAAGAAGGATGGAAGAGGAGGAAGAAGAAGGAGGAGGAGGAGGTGGAAGGGGGAAGAAGGATGAAGGAGGAGGAGAACAGGATTAAGAAACAAAAAAAAATAACAAAAATCAACCTACTCCCAACCAATGGTGTGGGAATTCCTCTTTAGCCCAACCAACTTCACTGGGGTATCATTGTAGGTGGGAAATTGGAGAAGAGCATTTGATAGACATCACCTTGTCCTCCTGGAGGCAAGGTGACTATCAAGCATGAAGAAATAGGACCACAGTTATGTTCCAATCAGACTGATTGATTGCCCATGTCTATACACAAGAATCTAGTCAACTAACTGTCAGCAGTCAATTGGCCCTAGATAAGAGTTAACAGAAGAGGAGTTGAACCATTTGTTATGACCATTATGACTCCAGGCTGATTCCTCTCTTGACTAAACCTCCAGCTCTGCTTGTTCTTCTCCTACAGTGGTGTAGACGTCCACCATAGCTTCATACAACTTGTGGACCATCAAGAATGTCCTATATTTTCAACAATTTTTTTTTAATACCAGCTCAATACTCCATATTTTGAAGGAGCTCTCCTGGAAGGTCAGCTACCAAAAAGAACGTTGTAGGGAAGTCATCAGACACACCCATCCCATGGCTTGCTTCGGCTGGAGGAAGAACTCCTGCCACTTGGTTTCGGGACTTGCTAATTGCTGGGTTTTGCAGGTAACTACGAAGTCCCTTAGCCACCCGCCTGACCCTTAGCTACACACAAAGAATTAAAGCAGCCACTAAACAGATGAAGAGCTTCGTCAAAAGAGCCTTGCTTTGTATAGGACAGTTCTGGGCAATTTGCCAGGTCCCCCCCCCCCGCCCAAGATTCTCTTTAAACCAAAGTAGTATTTTGGACTTTCTTCCTTCCCCCTTTGTGTGTTTGTTTTTTGAGTTTCTTTAAAATCCTGAGAACTCTGGCTACTTTTTGACAAAAGAGTAAAATTCTTAGGAGATGCCTGAACGGAGATTCTTCTGAACCAAATATGGTGCTTGGAAGCAGAGGGTGTCAAAATGACCACTTAGAAGGGGAGCTGCTGAAGTATAAGAGGTCAGCTGTTGAACTTGGGCCAGCGAGACCCAGGTTCAAGTTCAACTTCAAGCCAAGGAGGTGATGGGTGAGTATGGACCAGTCCCATCCTGCAAGCCCAGCCTACCTTAATGGTTCAGGAGGAGGAGGAGGAGGAGGAGGAGGAGGAAGGAGGAGGAGTTGGAGGAAGAAGAAGGAAGAA